AACAAGCAAAAGACAAGTATGAATAGTACTGTTGCCACAAGAACAAAGCTGAAAGGATGTCTAATGGCTGACATGCAAAGAGGTGAAAGGAAAGTTTGATGTTATACAACACACAGAAGTGAATCATGGAATGTGAAAAGTATGAATCAAAACAAACTGGAAACCATAAAGCAGAAAACGGAACAGCAAAGCACTGCAGTACTTAGTGTGAGCAAAACAGAGTAGATTGGAATGGGATAGGTTCAATCAGACAAAGTGTTTTACTCTGGAAATGAAAAACTCAGAAGAAATAGATTAGTTCTAATACTAAGGCACAATATAGCACAGACAGTAAGAGGCTGTAATGCAAAATGCAACCAAATAATATTAATCAACATAACCATCATTCAAAGCTATTCTCCAACAACAGCTGCTGAAGAGAACAAAAACTTTTATGCAGGTGTTCAAGGGTAAATTGATAACCCACCAAAACAAGACATGTTGGTAATCACAGCTGACTGGAGTGCAAAGGTAAGAAACAAAGAAGAATCAAATGTGGTAGGAACATTTGGCTTGGAACAACAAAACAGAAAAAATGTGAGACTTCTCCAAAAGAGCCAAAAAATCAAAAGGAAATTCAAACCTAGAATAGACATGCTAAAAGACAAGCCAGAATACTCACTATATGACCAGGAGAAAATAAAGAAAAAATGTAAAGAATATACAGAAGATGAAAGGATAAAAGATTCCTTCAAAGAGGAATCCTTTAAAGAAGAGCCTGCAATATTAGAAAGTCAGGTGAAAGCTGGTTTGAAATCACTTGGAAAGATCCAAGTACCCAGGGTAGACAGGACACTAATAGAACTGTTCCAAGCTACAAAAAATGAATTGGTCCATTCCAAACAAGAATATTCCAACAAATATGGAAAACAAAACAATGGTGCACAGACTGGAAATATTTGATATACATTCCAATTCCCTGGAAAGGAGATGCAAAAGCATAGGATCATCATACAAATTTCTCATGCAAGCAAAGTGATGCTTGAAGTGCTGCAACGAAGAATATATGTGGAGCAAGAAATGCTTGAGTTTCAAGCTACATTCCAAAAAGGTAGAGGTACTAGAGATTATATTGCAAGTATTTGTTGGCTACTGGAGTACACCAAAGAATTTCAAAGGAAGATCACTTTATGTTTTATAGACTACATCAAAGCCTTTGATTGTGGGGCTTATGAGAAGCTATAGATGGTTCTGAAAGAAATCACTGTCATAAGTTGGAGACAACTTGGTGGCACATAACATTCAAGAAATACTATATTCATCTGTGAAACAGATAGTTTTGTTTCTTCCAAGTGTTTCTTCTTCCAATCAAATCTAAGGAGAGAGCCCATGTTTAGACCAATCTTCTAGAGATTGATACAAATCTGACCTTTGCAGTAATGTGTATTTTAATTCTGCATTACCTTCTACAGCTGACAGTAAGCTCTGCTGAAAATAATAGGCTCTGAGTAGATATGTAGATATAGAATTGTACTGGAATAGTTTTTGATTGTTTTATATTGTATTTGTAATGGAGCATCTGTTTTGTGCGCTACTAAGAGAGCTTCTTGTTATGCAATTGTTACTATCCTGTATAAACATAGTAATAAACAGGAAGAGGAAAATAAATTTAGAAATCATATGTAAATATGATAACTGAAACTGAGAGTGCAAAGGGGAGCACAGAAAAAGAGCAAACAACTTGATAAGAGGCAAAGTTCTGAGTCTGCACGGCATCTACAAGAGGGCAGAAAATTTCAAGAAACCAAAAAGTAGAACTTAGAGCTAGAATAAGAGATAGGAGAAACAGTTTTGTCAGACTCAATAAATAATTAAAAAAATAAAGACAACAAACTTAAGGGTAGGGAATTAATATAAATGATACATCATACTGTAACAGGTATGCACCTTCACTGGCCAAGGTAAATGTTATCCAACTGAGAACAAATGATCAGATAAATCTATTCCACATATAAAAGCCAACTGCTTCTTAAGATGACTACTGTTCCAACCTACCTGTATAGCTGACAGAAGGTGTTGAATTATCCGGTCCTTCACTTGGGTCTGAAGTTCCACCTATTGTCACTGCCTCTTCCTCTTCCTCCTCCTCTTCCCTGATCTCAGGTACTTCCTCCTTTGGCTGTTCCATAATTGATCACCACCCTTCAGTGCCAAGACTGCAGCCCCTGTCATAGCTCTGGCATCATCCACGTATGTCTGGAAATGGACCTCTATCAGGCTGTTCCTTCTAGCCTTCAGGGGGAAAAAAGGAAAAATGTTGAAAGTGATTTGCAACAAGAAAAAAAAGATTGTGCTATGGAGTTTTGCCACTACCTCATGACCAATTAGGCCACTAAACATACAGGTATTTACATAACCTGTGCAAGGCTAACCTAATATTGTGGACTCATGGCAAGCTAGGCAACTATATTCTAAATGTACAATGAGCATTTTCACATATTTAGGATGGTAAGGCAAAGACAGGTGTCATCAAACTCAAGGAAAGAGAAGAAACATGGGTTACTTTGGGTGGTATAAGAAGTTATGAAAGATAAGGGTGCTCTGTTGTCTCATAGTGGAAGATCCATTTGACCTTTGTCTGCAAATACTCAGCTCATCATCTGTAAACTTTCCTGCACAGAAAGAAAATATGAGCCTCTGAGCAGAGGAGAAAGGTTATCACCTGCTTCTAACCTTCAGTTAGTTTTGCTACCTGTCCCCAGAGAGAAGTGATCATGTTCCAGAATATTTTCTGCACTTTCCCTATTGAGTCTGTTTCCCTATTGTGGAAACAGTATTTGCTGAGTATTTGCTAACAGAGGTCATATGGATCTTCCGCTGATGAGGGAACATATGAACTGTTCTCAACCTTCTTTGGGAATAATTTACACGGATAAAGATATGAAACAGAAAATCTCACATACGGCTGCTCTTCTGATGGTCACAGTGGCATGCCAGACTACAACTATGAAAATTGCTGCCAGTCATATCCCTGAGCTTCCAGTAAATACATTATGTTTGTCTATGTGAGGAGTTGCCCAGGAATAGACTGCTTGCATGCATATATAAACATTTTATGTGAACAGGCCCTCAGGTATTTCTCTTTCACTCTGCTTATGGCATTATATACAATGCTGAGGCTAAAATTTGAAGCACAACACTTTCAGTCCCTTTCTCTCAGTTCATTTTTCTGCAAGAAGTCTGTATCAGCAAGTTGCTGGGGATTTATACTTAACAGAAAAACAGCTGGGGGGAGAAGTTAAGAAGTTCCTCTCCCTTGAGCCATCCCCATTTCAAACTGCAGTGGTTGTATTATATAAGCTAATGTTTTAAAAAACCCAGAATTTCTACCCTGCAGCATCATGTCTAATACATCCAAATATTTCTTTCCTTTTACACTTATGCAATAATGTTACAATTTATTCCCTTGGGTTTTAGATTTAAAAGCAATAGCCTATCACAATGCCATTCAAAGAGCTGGAATCATACAGTGGTTGGATTACTCCTAGTCCAATTAATCTTGTGTAGGTGAGGTTAAAGTATTGACTTCTCATTGACTACAAAGCAGATCTCTGTAGCCAATGAGAAGTATGCAACTGGGGGAAAGGAATCCATCAAGCAAAACTATTCCTCCATTCTGTAGCATTTTATCTCTGTAAATTCCTGCAAATTTTGGCATCCCATCAGCCAAAACCATAGATTATTTCTGCCATATATGTACCTTCTCCAACAACAAAACACTGCTCTTTCCCTTAGCACAATATTCATACTACTGGGCATCAAGTACCAGAAGTACAACATCCCACTTCCATCATTTCATGGAATGAAAGAGCTAACTCTGCTGGGAGGTAGATAGGGAGAGGGAAGTTGAGTATGAGCACACCTGTGTAATGTTTTTCTTATCAAAGTCAATGCACACTCCAGGTCTGCAGAGTGGAGTGTATGACCTTGTTATCTGGGGAAAGGAAACCAGCTTGACTGGTTTTAATCATTCAGCATTACTAGAAGAGCACTCCTGCACTAAAGTAACATGGAGCACTTCTTTGTTAAATTTATGTATTTATTGAATAGAGCTGGTCTTTGACTGCAATAAAGTTTTTTTAAAAAAAACAGGGAACACACAAACATCAAAAAACCACACAACAAATAAAAATTAAAGTGTTCACAAAACAGACTCATCATAAATACAGGGTCCTACAGTTATTCATCTTGTCACAAATACTGAAATCAGAAGTGCTAACAGTCACAATAGACACGCTAGCTGGAAGCAGAAAGGAGCCAGGGCTAGCATTCTATTCTCTCTGTTCCAAAATACTAGTAAAATACAACATTCCTACAAGAGAAGAATCAAGCAAGTAAAAATGTATGTTACTAGATGAAAAAATGAAGATCTAGAAAGGCCTTCACATCCAAACAACGGGAGATATATTTAAAACTTTATCTGTATTAAGAGTATCAACTTTACCAGCTTAGTCCACAGATGCACTACAGAATGTGGAATCATCACTTGTATTTATAGGCTAGAGGTTATATGAGTTCAGAAAAGCAGATACTGGTATTCACAAACACCATTTTGGACATCATTTTGCTTCCAAAACTTTATGAAATCAAAATTTATACAATGCACCTACAATGGAAGTCCGCATATTTGTGCAGATGTGGAAGCAAGGCAAAAAGGAGTCATGTGAGAAGACAGGCAACAACAGAATTCCAAGTCTGACACTGTGATTACTGGGTCAACTGTCACACCCTTTTCATTTCATGCAGAAGTGTTAATGAAGTCAGTACAATATGCATAAATGCTAGCTACTTCATGACTAAAAGATGTACTAAATCTGACACAAGACAACAGCTATTCAACTAATACCATACAGTGGCTTGGCAAGAAAAAACTAGAATGATTGATTACTTGTTAGAGAGACAACCTCTCCAGGCTCAGTTGAGATCACACCACTTTCCATCCTGCTCTGAAAACGCCCAACATTTTTAGAGTTCTGTGTTTACTTTTATACAACATGTTGCAACTAATTCTTCTTTTTGCTGCCAAAATATTTGTTTTGAGTGTTTTCTTACCACCCAAATTAGATGTTGAATTTTACCCAGTGATAAGGATGAACTAGTTCTGGCATGCATTCCTGTTACTATCTTCATTCCTGCTTCAGATGGATTAGCAAGTCTGACCCTCACCAGTGCATTCCCTAAGCAGAGCATTGGATCAATTGTTATTTTTTAAAGGATACAGAATACACACTAAAAAAATAACAAAGCATATGTTTTTGTAAAACCGCAGTGGAGAATACAATTACAAATAATATACTATCGCTATCCTATTTTATGTCTAAGATATATTTTTGTATATTTATTATATCACTTGCCACCCAGTACTTTGTACAGGAAATAGGATGTTACACTCACGGAGCATCTTCAGGCATGCTTCAACAATATATGTCCTATTACATATAACCAAAGGATGGTAATGATTCTATTGTCATCTTCCTATGAAATAGCACATATATTGATCAGACTTAAAAGCTCAATCAGTAGATGGCTCAAAGTATCCAAATTTAGAGACAAGGCACTGATACAATGATCGTCTATCTTAGGACGTAACCAGCCTGTGAAAGAGTCCGATATCAAATACAACAAAGATGTCAGCTGCAATCTAGGAAAAACAGCAACACACAATCTCTTGTATGTGAACAATGGTAAATTGATGAAAACTCCTTAAACAACAAAATCTACATTTGACAGTAACTGATTAGTCTTCCTTCCTTCCTTAGTTACCTTCTTTCTTGCCTGAAAGATCAGTTTCCAGAAACCAGATTATATTCTCCTTTTGTCTGTTATCTTAAAGATCCTCTGAATGAACATTCACAGCAGTGTTGTGGCTTCCAAAGGATTTAAAAAAAATAGAAAACAGCTGACTGCTGTTACAATGGTCCATGCAAAATGACTTGGTAACACTGACCCCAGCTTAAATAGAAAGATGTTCTCTGTTCCACAAACAACACCTTCTGTAACTGCTAATATATGACCTCCTAAGAAACAGTTAAATTACAGAATTACAGAAATAGAACTTCTTTATTTCAAACCAGTCAGCTGAGTTAACCTGTAGTGATAGCAGTTTCAGTTAAAAATATAGTTTTATGTGACAAGCTACCAATTATGTAAAATCTCAAGCAATAACATTAAGTATAGGAGCCAACGTACTCAATTCTGTAATTTCAAGGTAGATTCTGACCACCATTTTCCATTCAACTATTTGAGCAACTAGTCTTTCAACTTTACATCTGATCCTATATCTAATCATATTATAAATTGTTAAAGCAGGAAGCAAAAACTCATATTGCTGTTTTCTAAGACCTGTCGAACTATGTTGTAGAACATACTGTACCCTGAAGAAAATGGCAACATAGCCCTGAAGAGGAGTCTTGCCATGAGAAATCACTCCCGTTCTCTCATACTTATGTTTTGTTCGAAATACATTCCTACCATGATGAAAAATACGGTTTTCAGTGAATTATACAAGAGATTTCTCATCTTATGGCAAGTGGCATGTAAACTTGTGCAAGTCATTAGCAGCTCTGCTCCTTGTGTACATTATTTCAGGTGTGATGCCTGAGCCAAGCAGGAATACATAAAGTCAATGTTTTTTTCTTTGAGAGACATTTCAACTTAGAATAGTTGGGACTTTCCAACTAAATATGTTTCCAAATTTTCTCCTTTAAAGAAATTGGACTTCCAAAGACGCATGTGGGTGTGGGATTTGCTTTTTTAAGAATACAGCTTTCTCCAACCTGTGGCCCTCTACATTTGAGGTGAATTATATGCCCTGGAGGGCCCCAGGTTGGTGGAAGAGGGAGTGTATGAAACAGATTTACTAGTTATAGGTAAAGGTTTCCCCTTGACGTGAAGTCCAATCATGCCTGACTCTAGGGGGCAGTGCTCATCTCCGTTCCTAGCCAAGGGAGCCAGCGTTTATTCCCAGCGTGGTCATGTGGCCGGCATGACTAAACACCAAGGTGCACGAACCCTGTTACCTTCCCACAGAAGTGGTACCTTTTATCTACTTGCATTTACATGCTTTCCAACTGCAAGGTTGGCAGGAGCTGGGACAGAGCAATGGGAACTCACCCTGCTGTGCAGATTCAAACCGGCCACCTTTCGATCAACCAGCACAGCAGTTTAAACCACTGCGCCACCTGCATCCCTTTACTCTGGTTTCTCTTCAGATCGTATAAACCTTTCACCTTTTACTAGTTATAGAAGCTTCCAATTCTCCATTCCATCCCCAACCCTAGTACTGAAGGAAGTAATTTGTGTGAAATTGAAATAGAAGTTTCCTGTATAAGGATTCAGGGTGCAAAGGAGAAACAAAATTGAAATATTCAAAGGCTAATCCTTTTGCCTCAGGGCAGGGCTTTTCCGTCAATTCCGTGCAGCCACTTGGTGTTTCCTGAGATATGCACCTGAACCAAAGAGAGGTTTTAGGATCTACACTCTGAGTCAGTAAGAGAATGGAGCCACTGATGCTTAGGACTGTCTGTATTCCTACTCCTTGTAAGAGTTGTACAAGACTAAACACTAATGCCTTTGGGGGGGGGTCAGTTGTTCCAGTTGGGCAGCATTTTGCTATATTTGTTCTTCAATGAATTCATACTACTAAGTAGTACACAGTTAATGCAAACTTTTCAAATTTATGAAACAAGGTAGCTGCAAGATGGTGGCAGAAACCTCAATCATCCAAGTAGGGAGAAAGCTATATATATGTGTACAAACAAAACCCCCCTGCATATTTCCAAGTATATGGTTCTGACATATCCCCACTATATCAGAACCTAGTGTGGGGATCTTATACAAGAGCCCTCTAAAATCAAAGAATTTCAGATGTGAGTGCGTGCATCTTCATCTATATTTGTGTACATGCAAATGCAGGTTTACTCATTCCCCCTGCACAGAATTGTAGCTCCATCAGTTTAGTATTTTAGTGCTCAGAGAAAGTATTTCCCCAATATTTGGCACAAACAACCATCTTAGTTTTCATTTACAGTGGAATTATGTGGAAAAAAGTGCGAAAAATAATACAGCAGATTTTTCAATAAGTGAAGAGAACTACCCTTTAGTGCCTCATCAAGGACACTGAGACCCCATTCACATGCAGTGTTATTCTTGGCCTTCTCATACACACTTGCCCCAAAGGAAATGGCACACATAGAGGAAAAACTAGTCACTGCAGTTTGAAGGTAATGAACTGAGGTTGTTGCTTTTTAAAACATACTTATATAAATATGAATACAAGACCATCAGGAAGAGAATCTGGAAGTTTTGGAAGGTTGAGAAGAAGCTAGGCATGGAAAGACACATACCAGGATGGACACACACAGTAATTACTCAATCTCCAATTATACTTCCATCGTTTTTTTATTTCATTGGAGAAATGAGGATTAGATATTTACTGTAGAAAAACTGTGCACAGGATTAGATATTTACTTTCTTCACAACACACTGACATTTGAATATCTTTACTGGTACACTCTTTTTTAGTATAGTAATCTATTTCTTTGAGCAGGCACAAAACAAAATTAAAGCATACTGACTCTTAGCTGCTTAAACAAAACAGACATGGTTCACTCACTTTGAGGTGCAGGTTTAAGGATTGTGAGAGCTGTCAAAGTGTGACTTTACAAAGATGGTGGCATCAGTGTGAATGTTTGCGACAGGACTTGTATTAAGTCCAACAGGGAGTCACTTTTGGTTTGGAGAATCATTCTGCTCTGCCTATTCATCTGCAAGCAAGACGCTGAATGCATGACAAAGCATAAAATGTATGAAGTGCCACCTTAAACATCAAACTAGTTTGGTTTCAAGATTCAAAATGTTTCTGAAATCTAAGAGAAAGGAACTGCTCTCACCCATACTACGAAACACAATGTGCAGCACTGCACAAGTCAGTCACTTTACTCCAAAACTGACGCACTCAGAAGCAATGGAGTGGCTCTATTACTGAGGCAAGATGAAGCCCAGGCAGTAAGGGGCTATAATGCAAAGTATGACTGAATCGTGTCAATTAGAATTAATGGAAAACCTATCAACATAACCATCATTCAAGTCTATGCTCTAACCACAGATGCTAAAGAACAATAAAATGAAATATTTTACACAAGTGTCCAAGGGAGCACATAGCAGCTGACAGGAATGCAAAAGTAGGAAACAGCAGAATTCAGTGTTGTGAAAGAATTTGACCTGGGGGGGGGGGTCACAAACAAAGGAGGAAAATGACTCATAGGATTCTGTCAAGCCAGCAATCTGCTCACTGCAAACACATACTTCAAGTAATAATCAAGTAATTGATTAAACAGCTATGCACACCAGATGGCCAATATAGAAATCAATAGAAATACAGAAATCAAGACTATGTAATTGGAAGCAAAAAGTGGAGAAACTGTATTCTCAGATTATAGTACTGACCATGAACTCTTAATATCAAAAATCTATTCTGATTTGAGGAAGCTGAAGTTGAAAAAGTTCACTAACAAATCATAGTGCCAAAACACAACTTAAATAAGATTCCTGAGGAATTTTAAGTCAACATAAAGAACAGTGAGTCAGAAGAACTGTGGAACGAAACCAGAGACTGTATTAGGGAAGAAGGCCAAAAGACAATTCCTGTAACAAAAGAAAGAAAAAGTCTAGTTTGATGACTGAAGGTTGCTAAGGATAAATAGGAAAATCAAGAGACCTTTTCCAGAAATGCCAAGAAATCAAGTTCAAACCTAGATTACAATTGCTGAAAGACCAAGGGGGGAACACACTATCTGAGCAGGAGTAAATAAACTAAGGTGGAGACAATAAACAGAAGAGATAAAAAGATGACAGATTCCTTTAAGGAAGAATCCTATGAGAAACAACCTGCAGTGTTATAAAGCTAAATGAATACTACTCTGAAACGAATAAAGCAGCTGGAATAGAATACTTAGAAGAGAAATATTCTAAGCT